GCGCACACACACACACACACACACACACACACACACACACACACTAGACACAACACAACACACACACACAGAGCGTGGTAATGATAAAAGCTCACGGCTCAGGAAGAGTGACTAGAAGCGATCAGTGAAAGGCGGGCCAGGAGCTCGGACTCGAACCCCCTGCAACCTCTACTAGGTGAGGGACAACAAGGTGAGTACATACAGTCTAGTGTCTAATCGACATGGCCTCAGGACAAAATGGTAACTAAACACACACACACACACACACACACACACGCAAACGCCGCAATGCGCTACGCACACACCACAACACACACACTAAGACACACACACACACACACACACAACACATACTACAGGCCTAGTGTCTAATCGACATGCCTAGCAAAATGGTAAACTAACACACACACATCACACACACACACACACACACATAAAACATACACAATAACACACACACACACATACAACACATAACACAACACATACAACACAACACAACACACACACACACAACACACACACACACAATACACACAAACACACACACGACACAAACACACACAACACAACTACACAGTACACACACACACACAACACAACAAAACATAAGCACACCACACACACAACAACGAACACACACACCACAGAGTCTGTGGGTGAGTATAACACCAGGCACATCTCCTGAAGCGCACATCACCAAATAACTGCTGCAGCATATGGGCGCCTACAACCTCAACAGCATTCCGACATCTAATAAGGAGATCATTCAGACCCTGTAACCGTGTATGTTAGGCCCATATTGGAGTATGCGGCACCAGTTTGGAACCCACACCTAGCCAAGCACGTGAAGAAACTAGAGAAAGTGCAAAGGTTTGCAACAAGACTAGTCCCAGAGCTAAGAGGTATGTCCTACGAGGAGAGGTTAAGGGAAATCAACCTGACGACACTGGAGGACAGGAGAGATAGGGGGGACATGATAACGACATACAAAATACTGAGAGGAATTGACAAGGTGGACAAAGACAGGATGTTCCAGAGATTGGACAGAGTAACAAGGGGACACAGTTGGAAGCTGAAGACACAGATGAATCACAGGGATGTTAGGAAGTATTTCTTCAGCCACAGAGTAGTCAGTAAGTGGAATAGTTTGGGAAGCGATGTAGTGGAGGCAGGATCCATACATAGCTTTAAGCAGAGGTATGATAAAGCTCACGGCTCAGGGAGAGTGACCTAGTAGCGATCAGTGAAGAGGCGGGGCCAGGAGCTCGGACTCGACCCCCGCAACCTCAACTAGGTGAGTACAACTAGGTGAGTACACACACACACACACACACACACACACACACACACACACACACACACACACACACACACACACACACACACACACACACACACACACACACACACCCACACACACCCACATGGGGGCCAAGATACATGGAGGGCTAAGATGATGGAGGTGGTACTGGAAAACTTCATGTACCAACACGTAAGGGACACTACAAGAGAGAGAGGAGAGGATGAACCAGCAAGGCTGGACTTAGTATTCACCTTGAGTAGTGCAGATATCGAGGACATCACATATGAAAGACCCCTTGGGGCCAGTGACCATGTGGTTTTAAGCTTCGAATACACAGTAGAGCTACAAGTGGAGGGAAAAGCAGGAAGGCCAGGACGAATGAAGCCAAACTACAAGAAAGGGGACTACATAGGAATGAGGAACTTCCTGAACGGGGTTCAGTGGGACAGAGAACTGGCAGGAAGCCAGTTAATGAGATGATGGAATATGTAGCAACAAAATGCAAGGAGGCTGAGGAGAGGTTTGTACCCAAGGTAACAGGAATAATGAAAAAGCTAGGATGAGCCCATGGTTTACCCAAAGGTGCAGGGAGGCAAAAACCAAGTGTGCTAGGGAATGGAAGAAATATAGAAGGCAAAGGACCCAGGAGAATAAGGAGAGCAGTCGTAGAGCCAGAAACGAATATGCACAGATAAGAAGGGAGGCCCAAAGACAATATGAAAATGACATAGCAGCGAAAGCCAAATCTGACCCGAAACTGTTGTACAGCCACATCAGGAGGAAAACAACAGTCAAGGACCAGGTAATCAGGCTAAGGAAGGAAGGAGGAGAGACAACAAGAAATGACCGTGAAGTATGTGAGGAACTCAACAAGAGATTCAAAGAAGTGTTCACAGAGGAGACAGAAGGGCTCCAGAAAGACGGAGGGGTGGGGCACACCACCATGTGCTGGACACAGTGCACACAACCGAGGAAGAAGTGAAGAGGCTTCTGATGAGCTAGATACCTCAAAGGCAATGGGGCCAGATAACATCTCCCCATGGGTATTGAGAGAGGGAGCAGAGGCGCTATGTGTACCCCTAACAACAATATTCAATACATCTATCGAAACAGGGAGATTGCCTGAGGCATGGAAGACAGCAAATGTAGTCCCAATCTTTAAAAAAGGAGACAGACATGAAGCATTAAACTACAGACCATGTCACTGACATGTATAGTATGCAAAATCATGGAGAAGATTATCAGGAGAAGAGTGGTGGAACACCTAGAAAGGAACGATCTCATCAACAGCAGCCAACATGGTTTCAGGGACGGGAAATCCTGTGTCACAAACCTACTGGAGTTCTATGACATGGTGACAGCAGTAAGACAAGAGAGAGAGGGGTGGGTGGATTGCATTTTCTTGGACTGCAAGAAGGCGTTTGACACAGTTCCACACAAGAGATTAGTGCAAAAACTGGAGGACCAAGCAGGGATAACAGGGAAGGCACTACAATGGATCAGGGAATACTTGACAGGAAGACAGCAGCGAGTCATGGTACGTGGCGAGGTGTCAGAGTGGGCACCTGTGACCAGCGGGTCCCACAGGGGTCAGTCCTAGGACCAGTGCTTTTTCTGGTATTTGTGAACGACATGACGGAAGGAATAGACTCTGAGGTGTCCCTGTTTGCAGATGACGTGAAGTTGATGAGAAGAATTCACTCGATCGAAGACCAGGCAGAACTACAAAGGGATCTGGACAGGCTGCAGACCTGGTCCAGCAATTGGCTCCTGGAGTTCAATCCCACCAAGTGCAAAGTCATGAACATTGGGGAAGGGCAAAGAAGACCGCAGACGGAGTACAATCTAGGGGGCCAGAGACTACAAACCTCACTCAAGGAAAAAGATCTTGGGGTGAGTATAACACCAGCACATCTCCTGAAGCGCACATCAACCAAATAACTGCTGCAGCATATGGGCACCTAGCAAACCTCAGAACAGCATTCCGACATCTTAATAAGGAATCATTCAGGACCCTGTACACCGTGTACGTTAGGCCCATATTGGAGTATGCGGCACCAGTTTGGAACCCACACCTAGCCAAGCACGTAAAGAAACTAGAGAAAGTGCAAAGGTTTGCAACAAGACTAGTCCCAGAGCTAAGAGGTATGTCCTACGAGGAGAGGTTAAGGGAAATCAACCTGACGACACTGGAGGACAGGAGAGATAGGGGGGGCATGATAACGACATACAAAATACTGAGAGGAATTGACAAGGTGGACAAAGACAGGATGTTCCAGAGATTGGACACAGTAACAAGGGGACACAGTTGGAAGCTGAAGACACAGATGAATCACAGGGATGTTAGGAAGTATTTCTTCAGCCACAGAGTAGTCAGTAAGTGGAATAGTTTGGGAAGTGATGTAGTGGAGGCAGGATCCATACATAGCTTTAAGCAGAGGTATGATAAAGCTCACGGCTCAGGGAGAGTGACCTAGTAGCGATCAGTGAAGAGGCGGGACCAGGAGCTCGGACTCGACCCCCGCAACCTCAACTAGGTGAGCAACTAGGTGAGTACACACACACACACACACACACACACACTAGATTCATGTACAGACTACGTTATGTTGCAACCAATTTTCAGCAGAGAGAGAACAGAGCCCGAGCCTTTAACTCATAAGACTGTCATTCCCATTTGCCTCCTTGGGGCGGGGATGGCAGACCAGAGAGGCCTAGCTTGTGGCTAGGCCTTGGGACAGTTGGTCCCAAAGATGAGGAGGTACTTGTGCCTCCTCCCATGGGAGACTTAGGTCTCAGACACTCCCTAAAGAGGGAGCCAAGGCCGGGCCACCACTTGGAAAAGGCCAGGGCCGGGAGAATACCGGCGAATCTTTAAGAAGAAGAAGAAGAAGAACCAATTTCGTTTAAATAATATAGGATATGTTCGTGCTTCTCTCCTTCGTTCTTTTTTAGATAGCCTTCAAGACCTGGTTTCATCTTCGCTAGAACCATTCTTACTGTTAGGAGGTTTTAGATGAGTTAATTTTTGGCGAGGATATACGTATCTTTTGTGCCTCGTGAGGTAGCCTATTAGAATTTTGTCTCGCCCATTCATCTTTACATCTCATAAATACGAGGATTTCGAGTCTTGTAAACATTTGAATTCGTAGTCCTTCGTGTACTGATCGACATTTGTCCATTAGTTCTTAAGCTTCGAGTTATGAACGCTCGCCACAGTAGCTAGCATGTTCCCCTCGTCATCACCTCTCACTTGTATACTCCTCCTGGTCGCTGCTGCTGATGGCGCTTTGAGCTTGCAACTTAGAAACTTTACCCACTGCTTCTGGTCCATCAGGCCAGCAACCGGGAGGCTTGGTCTAGGACCAGGCTGCAGGAGAGATAAGGTGACCCTTGGAGTAGACGCGAGGTAAACACAAGGTAAAAACCCCACCGTGTGGTGTAAATCTTGTAACATTCTGTTTCCCACCTAGCAGGTCTGGTCTGAGATTCTGCCTTGGGCAAGATCATCTCCAAAACCACTAACAGATATTGCAGCACTAGCTTCTGAAGAGCTTGTGATCCAATGAAGCTGAGCTACCCACCTGTGACCTCGTATCAAACCCCATTACCTCCTCCACTTACCCAGACGCTGTACGACCCTTCTTCTTCCTCCCTTTTCCTTAAGGTAATTTTCATTTGGTTTCGACGACAGATTCGGGCCGCAGCTGAACGACCTGAGGGACTACGACGACCCCCCGCACGACTACCCCGACTATGACATCGATGAATATGGTGATTACGACCAGTATGGTGAAGCTCAGTCCAGACACAAACAACCTTTACCCTTCCTTCAGAAATTTGTGAAAAAGGACGAAGAGTCAGCTAGTAAGTCCACAATAACAATGGAAAAGACGAACAAGAACCACAATAAAAACAAAATTAATAATAACGACTTCTTTAAAGATGTTTAGACTTTGAGGAAAGTCTAAGAGAGTTAGTCTTTGAACGTCTATAGACAAGTTGATGGGTGAGACACAGGTGCTACACCTAGGTAACTATTGATACCCAAGTGTTGCAAAGGTGTCTTATTCATGAAGGGACCGGAATGTCTGAAACTGAATAGACGGACACACGAGCTGAAGCTTAGGAACAACCTGTTATCCGGGACAACGTTTCACTCAACACGGATGGGAGGGGATGAAAGGAGGGGGGGAAACGTTGTCCAAGGAACACTTTCGTTCTGCAGCCTTTGTTCATGTCTTCGTACGTATGGGCAATGAGATATTTCATCCAGATAAAGAAAGGAAAAAGAAATTTGAACTTAAAACTTTGTGAACTTGTTGATACACCTCTAAACACCATCTTACACGAAAATACCTTCTTTTTAACACACGCAAGTACCTACTTTCTAACACGTAAGTACCTACTTTTTAATACCTTCACGTAGCTCGCTCTCTGCTAAGCTACTCTTCCTTATGGTGCTCCATAACCCGCGATATAAACACCGAGAGGTGTACGTCTCGCTGTATCTACAGTCAAGAACACCTTAATCTCTAAAATAGGGATTAAAGTGGTGTACAGGTTACATGCAGTCTTAATGACCCTCATGTAACCTATCGTCTTAAAATCCAAGTAACCGTATGATTCACGAGTGTTTGATTCGTGTGTTAAGATTCTAATTATATTTTCTAAATATTGATGCAGTTGTAATTATTTCTAATGAATTTCACAGGTTAGGACTTTGACATCAGCCATAGTCTTATAACCTCAAGTCAAGACTGACATCAGCCATAGTCTTACTATAAATAAAGACGGAAGAATAAGCATAGCAGATGTGAGTGTGTAAGTCTGGGGACCTGGGGACCGGGGTGACCACCAGACAAGCCTGTATAAAGACGTAATGCAGATTCAAGCCTCTCGCACGACGTTTCGACCAGAAGTGAGCTTTACCAAGTCTCAGTAAAGCTCAGTCCTGCACGAAACGTCGTGTGAATGAGCCTTACTCTGTACGACACGTCTTGGCGACGCTGTGGTGCGCGTTGGTGAAGGTAAGTGGTGACTCACGTACTTAGTGACGCATCTTCTGTTTACGCTTATATGAGAGAGCTAACTTTTCTTTTCCTCGGTTGATGCTTTGTGTCAGGCCAAATATAGTATAATATCTCCAGGATACTTGTTAAACACCTGTAAGGCCTGAAGAATTAGACACACGTGCAACATCTTTGTATCTATTGTAGACGTTTCGCTATCCAATGGCTTTATTAATACAAATTGAAGGACGTAATTGGAAGACAGTGGAACTATATACAAAAGATGAGGTAATCAGTCCCTCAGTGTTGAAGACTCTGAGTCATCAGTCTTCATGACTGTGCTCCAGAGTCTTCAACACTACGTTATTGTTCACTAGTTCTAAGACTGAGGGACTGATGATTCCCTCATCTTTTGTATATAGTTCTACTGTCTTCAAGTTATGTCCTTGTATTGTACTGGTAAAGCCACTGGATGGTGAAACGTCTACAAATAAACATACCCAGATGTTGCACATGTGTCTAATTCTTGTCAGTATTGTATATCATATATATACATCTGTAATAACTGTAAAGTAGCTTGCAACTGCAACAAGATCAGTCTTTTTAGTTTTGCGCAACGAAAACTCTGGATATTTTTAATGTTTAAATTGAGTAACCGTTGATGTTCGTATGTTGAGAGACGACACTGTTCATTGGATATCCTGTTCACTTAAGGATTTTGTTCATTATGAGATCAGGGGAGGATGAAGCGGATTCTTATGTAAATTATATACGAGATAATGACTGTAAGAGAATGTGCCGTTGAATGAATGATGGTGAATGTTCCCTTCAGGTCATCATTCCTTGCAGGGAAGATCGCCCTTGTGGTAAACAGAATTTGTAATTTGTTTCCAGAGCTATCAGTGGCCATTTTGTGTCGGACTGTTGACGTGATTGACAAAAATTATGCCAGGAAAGATACTTTTGAAAAGCCGGCACAGAAAGTTGGTCCGACTCAAGTGCCGTCTCATCCAGGTCTCGACACAGTCGTTCTGTCTAGGTTAGATTTTGCCACCGGAGTGGCTGGTTTACTGTGCGCCGCATATCCATCCTGTGGATGGTAGTGGCTGGTTTACTGTGCGCCGCATATCCATCCTGTGGATGGTAGTGGCTGGTTTACTGTGCGCCGCATATCCATCCTGTGGATGGTAGTGGCTGGTTTACTGTGCGCCGCATATCCATCCTGTGGATGGTAGTGGCTGGTTTACTGTGCGCCGCATATCCATCCTGTGGATGGTAGTGGCTGGTTTACTGTGCGCCGCATATCCATCCTGTGGATGGTAGTGGCTGGTTTACTGTGCGCCGCATATCCATCCTGTGGATGGTAGTGGCTGGTTTACTGTGCGCCGCATATCCATCCTGTGGATGGTAGTGGCTGGTTTACTGTGCGCCGCATATCCATCCTGTGGATGGTAGTGGCTGGTTTACTGTGCATCCCATATCCATCCTGTGGATGGTAGTGCAAGATCGTATGGATACACAAAAGGCCTAGGCACTAGGCCCGAAAAGGGTTAACGGGAGTACGTCTGGATTTACATCTACAGTTCACTTGTCTGTTACAAGCAATTTTAGGAAATTTGTTTAATATATCTGGTATCTTATTTTCAACATGTCGTAACATGTCATATAGACGCCGGAAACATGATCGTCCTTCATATTTTCAATAAATATTGAGGAGAGCGTTGCTAGACGCCCACCACTAATACTAACTCTTCTCTTCTTTATAACACATACCGAGATTTCAAGACTATGAAGACTTCTGCCTTTGTTCTTCACTTATTGCAGGTTGAAATCTTCTATTTGGCTGCATGAGATTGCAACACGCGCCAGCCTCACGTAACAAACACCACGAACCTTGACGCTAGAAAGAATATTTCTTGCCAGGATATTTTCATTCAATTTGTATTTGATTTGCAAGATGAAATCTGTTTACATTGTCTGTTCCTTCTGAGTATCGTCTATGTTGTGGTAATGTCTCCTGTATGACCTCTACTGTAGATACAATGATTTATCTGTTATTCTCTCATGGTAATACTTACCTTATCCCATGGTAATAACATTCCTAAGACGGATGGCCAAGTTTCCTAATACCTTCCACTGCCCCTGTTGACCTAACAGTATTGGTTGACTGCTGTGGATGACATCCCAGTGGCTGGAGATAACGACCCCAGTGGTAATAACCCACAGTGACTTTCCTTAGGTTATCCTGGGTTTGAAGTCCTCCAGGGGTTACTGATAATTCTCTCTCTGTCTCTGTCTCTTCTCCTCTGTCTCTCTCTGTCTAGTGTGACCTCTGTTAGGCAGCGTTATGTTTCAGATTACTAAACTAAGACCTTCCACTTTTAAACTAAGACCTTCCACTTTTAAACTAAGACCTTCCACTTTTAAACTAAGACCTTCCACTTTTAAACTAAGACCTTCCACTTTTAAACTAAGACCTTCCACTTTTAAACTAAGACCTTCCACTTTTAAACTAAGACCTTCCACTTTTAAACTAAGACCTTCCACTTTTAAACTAAGACCTTCCACTTTTAAACTAAGACCTTACATTCGTGAAGGAATCATTTCGGTCAAGTGTGGGTTGTTTGTTATGTTACATCTTGTTGACAGTTACACCTGGCTGGTCGTCAAGGAACCTGTGTGTGTGTGTGTGTGTGTGTGTGTGTGTGTGTGTGTGTGTGTGTGTGTGTGTGTGTGTGTGTGTGTGTGAGACTTGCCTAATTGTGGTTGCAGGGGTCAAGTTTCGACTCCTGGCCCCGCTGTTCCGCTGAAAGCTACTGGATTCACTCCTGGTTGCGTGAGCCTTATCATCATACCTATTCTTAAAGCTGTGTATGGATTCTGCCTCTACCACTTCGCTATATGGGGTGTCCTGTTCTTGACTAGTGCTAAAAAAAAGTATTTCCTAACATCCCTGTGACTCAGTGTGCTTTTAACTTTCAGCTGTGACCTCGTGTACCTGAGAACCGCCTCTCCTACACACTGTCCACTCTGTAAATTTCTCTAAGTATTTTGTACGTCGTAATCATGTTACCTCTGGTCCTTCAGTCGTCTAGTGCGATCAGGTTTACCTCCTCTAGCCGCTCAACTCTGGGACTAATTTCGTTGCAAGCCTTTGTACTTTACCTGGTTTCCTTACATTCTGAACCAGATAAGGGTTCCACATTGGCGCTGGATACTCCAAGATGGACCTGACATATGTCGTGTATAACGTCATGAATGTCTCTTTGTTGATGTTTCTGAAAGTTGCCCTTTAATTTACCAGTCTCACGTTTGTTACAGTAGTTATACTGTCGATGTATCTCAGGTGATATACTCGGAAGTGTGCTCACCCCGAGGTCCTTCTCTTTCAGGGAGGTTTGTAGCATTTGTCCCTTGAGCTGTGCACTGTTTCTGGACGGATTTCAATTTCTTCGAGTTTCATAACGTTGGATTACCTGAGGTTAAATTCTAACAGCAACTTGTTAGACCAATCCTGCAGCTTGTACTCACCTAATTGTGGTTGCAGGGGTCGAGGCTCAGCTCCTGGCCCCGCCTCTTCACTGATTGCTACTAGGTCCGCTCTGTCTCTGCTCCCTGAGCTTTGTCATACCTCGTCTTAAAGCTATGTATGGTTCCTGCCTCCACTACATCACTTGCTAGGCTATTCCACTGCCTGACAAGTCTATGACTGAAGAAATACTTCCTAACATCCCTGTGACTCGTCTGAGTCTTCAGCTTCCAATTGTGACCCCTTGTTTCTGTGTCCCATCTCTGGAACATCCTGTCTCTGTCCACCTTATCTATTCCACGCAGCATTTTGTATGTCGTTATCATGTCTCCCCTGGCCCTCCTGTCCTCCAGTGTCGTCAGTCCGAATTCCCTCAACCTTCCTAGGACATTCCCCTGAGCTCCGGAACTAACCTTGTTGCAAACCTTTGTGTGTGTGTGTGTGTGTGTGTGTATGTGTGTGTGTGTGTGTGATCTATTTGTGGTTGCAGGGGGTCGAGTCGTACCTTCGCTGGTCGTTACTAGAACCACTTTCTCTCTGCGCCAAGAGTTTTATCGTACCTCTCTTAGCCATGGTCTCAGACCTCTCCTGATCTCACCACGTCATGGCCTGCCTTCAGTAAGAAAGATGTGTGTCCAACTGTAGTGTCGTTTCTGCTCTCTCTCTCACGAGTGCCTTCCTACACTACCACCTGCACAACCACCTGCACCACCACCTGCACCACCACCTGCACCACCACCTGCACCACCACCTGCACCACCACCTGCACCACCACCTGCACCACCAATCCCAACCCCTGTACCACCAGCTGTACCACTGACAGCCCTTGCTGACGATACTAAGAGTGTCAGTGTGTCACAGATGCTGACTATGGTGACCTGCTGCCCGAGGCTGAGTATAACTTCCAGCGAGATGAACGCCTGGACGTCAAGAAGCCTGGACCCTTCTTCAAGAGTGCTAACAACTACGGCTTCGACTACACTGACGACGATGACGACAACGGAGAGAGACGTGACGACCAGGTGGGTCATCCTCTCGTTCCCACCTCGCAGTCCTGCTCACCAGTCGTTATTCCTGTCATTTTTGATCGGGAATGGAGAGTCCTATCATTATTGGTCGAGAATGGAGATTCCTGTCATTCTTGATCGGGAATGGAGATTCCTGTCATTCTTGATCATAAATGGAGATTCCTGTCATTCTTGGTCAGGAATGGAGATTCCTGTCATTCTTGGTCAGGAATGGAGATTCCTGTCATTCTTGGTCAGGAATGGAGATTCCTGTCATTCTTGGTCAGGAATGGAGATTCCTGTCATTCTTGGCCAGGAATGGAGATTCCTGTCATTCTTGGTCAGGAATGGAGATTCCTGTCATTCTTGGTCAGGAATGGAGATTCCTGTCATTCTTGGTCAGGAATGGAGATTCCTGTCATTCTTGGTCAGGAATGGAGATTCCTGTCATTCTTGGTCAGGAATGGAGATTCCTGTCATTCTTGGTCAGGAATGGAGATTCCTGTCATTCTTGGTCAGGAATGGAGATTCCTGTCATTCTTGGTCAGGAATGGAGATTCCTGTCATTCTTGGTCAGGAATGGAGATTCCTGTCATTTTTGGTCAGGAATGGAGATTCCTGTCATTCTTGGTCAGGAATGGAGATTCCTGTCATTCTTGGTCAGGAATGGAGATTCCTGTCATTCTTGGTCAGGAATGGAGATTCCTGTCATTCTTGGTCAGGAATGGAGATTCCTGTCATTCTTGGTCAGGAATGGAGATTCCTGTCATTCTTGGTCAGGAATGGAGATTCCTGTCATTCTTGGGCAGGAATGGAGATTCCTGTCATTCTTGGTCAGGAATGGAAATTCCTGTCATTCTTGGTCAGAATGGAGATTCCTGTCATTCTTGGTCAGGAATGGAGATTCCTGTCATTCTTGGTCAGGAATGGAGATTCCTGTCATTCTTGGTCAGGAATGGAGATTCCTGTCATTCTTGGTCAGGAATGGAGATTCCTGTCATTCTTGGTCAGGAATGGAGATTCCTGTCATTCTTGGTCAGGAATGGAGATTCCTGTCATTCTTGGTCAGGAATGGAGATTCCTGTCATTCTTGGTCGAGAATGGAGATTCCTGTCATCCTTGGTCGAGAATGGAGATTCCTGTCATTCTTGGTCGAGAATGGAAATTCCTGTCATTCTTGGTGGAGAATGGAGATTCCTGTCATTCTTGGTGGAGAATGGAGATTCCTGTCATTCTTGGTCAGGAATGGAGATTCCTGTCATTCTTGGTCGAGAATGGAGATTCCTGTCATTCTTGGTCAGGAATGGAGATTCCTGTCATTCTTGGTCGAGAATGGAGATTCCTATCATTCTTTGGTTAGTAATTATGATTATCATTCCTGGTTGACTGTGATTACTATTATTCCGGGTCAGTAATAATGATTCCTATATTGTGCTGACAGCGAAGTCACTGTTTTGTGCTGAAAGTGAAGTCACCATCAGTGTTTTGTGCTGACAGTGAAGTCATTGTCTTGTGCTGACATTGAAATCATTGTCTTGTGTTGACAGTGAAGTCACCGTCAGTGTCTTGTATTGACAGGTGGACGAAGTGGGTGGTGGTGACGTCATTCTCACACGGCTGCTACAAGAATCACCCCCACCCACGTC